GTAAGACTAGTTCGTAGCGCCTACACAGACCTTATCGTATCTGATCGTATCGTATCGTAGCGTATGGTAGCGTATCGTATCGTGGCTTCTTGCAGACTTCTTCCAGACTCACTCCAAACTGACAGACTGACAGACTCTTTTCGGATTGATTTTCGGCTGCTTTGCGACTGTTTCCGCGTGTCGCGGGCACGTGCTTTTATCCTAGCCCAGCCCGAACGTTCCAGGCATTTTTTCTAAACCCGGCACGTTCAGGCTAGGGTTTCTGCCTGCCTGGTCGCGTTGCGCTAGAATATTCTTGGAGCTAATGCTCACATAGACACAAAAAACAAAAGGAACACTTATTACAAAGCACATAGAATCTGTTACTAGTACAGAGATACGGAAAATGTTTTTTGAAAACATATTGTCTACAATTCGCAAAAAATGGCCAAGAGGATCAAGACATTGCCCTGTAAGAAAAATCGAGGGCGCCGTCGAGGCGGGGATTCGGGAGGCCAGCCCAGATGTTTATTGTAATAGGAGCAGGCGATATCGGGCCCGAGGACTAAGCCACCACGAACATCGGCGACCAACCCTCGAGGCCCTTGGTGACGCATTTTTGGGAACGGCGGGACAAAGGGGTTTTCCTAACCGGAAAGCCAGTCTTGCTTAGACAGTCACAGAGTAACAGTTTAACCAAGCCAACCCACACGAATAAAGCTTTTAACGTCAGATACGCATCTATTTCTTCATTTTCCTTACAGCCCCATATTTATTCAACAGGGTAACGCAAAACCACATCTAAAAAATGATGATCCGTTACTATTAGAGGAGGGATTTCGTGATGGATGGAAAATACAAATGAAATCACAGCCACCAAATAGTCCAGACTTTAATGTGTTAGACTTGGGTTTTTTTTAAACTTAATGCAGTCACTACAACATCAAGCCTTGCCCAATAATATTGATGAATTGATGGAAACAGTAAACATAGCCTTTGATAATATTTCTCCCGAAATACTGGATAATACGTTTCTGTCACTTCAACAAGTTATGCTGGAAGCAATGAAGAACGATGGCTCCAATAATTTTAGGCTCATGCATATAGGGAAAGCAAAGCTTCGCAATCAAGGGATCCTACCTACAAGTTTAAAATGCAGTAACGAAATTATTGAAAAATCCAGAAACTATCTGAACACTCAAAATAAAAATTAGGAGTAATATTTTTAATTTATTGTTTAATTTAATCTAGTTTTTTGATAATAAATGTTGCGTTCTATATTTATTTTCTTTTGCTACTATTATTATGGGACAAATTAAATTCATCAACTGCTACACTATTATTATGGGACAGAGGGAGTAGCAACATTGTTTTTCCACTCGTTAGATTTTCTTTGAAAAAATATGTAGGAATAGGGTTTTATTAAGGTGTCTATTCCGCTAGTTACAGAGATAACACGACGAGTAAGACTAGTTCGTAGCGCCTACACAGGCCTTATCGTGGCTTCTTGCAGACTTCTTCCAGACTCACTCCAAACTGACAGACTGACAGACTCCTTCCGGATTGATTTTCGGCTGCTTTGCGACTGTTTCCGCGTGTCGCGGGCACGTGCTTTTATCCTAGCCCAGCCCGAACGTTCCAGACATTTTTTCTAAACCCGGCACGTTCGAGCTGGGCTTTTTGCCTGCCTGGTCGCGTTACGATAGAATATTCTTGGAGCTAATGCTCACATAGACACAAAAACTTAAGCCTGCCGGCACGTGCCGATCAGCCGGTAAATATATCGAGAAGATTCGATTGTCCGTGTTCGCGATTTCTTTTATCATGCCTGCATCCCACATATACAGTACTGTGCAAGAGTTTTAGGCCACCGCGTGACATTTGTCTTATACTTAAATCAATCAATGTTAATGATGCTTAGTAGTTACCATGCTGTAGATTCCAACATTTGGCTGTGCCATAATTGTTCTGCACGTGGAAAGCATGTGTTTTACCGGAAAATGCAGTGAAAGAAAGGACATATTGCTTTTTATGGCATGCAGCCAGGGTCGCTTCTCTGAGCATTTCAGGTAAAAATGTTGACTGCATACATTTCTATTGCCGATGTTTCATTTCTGTTTCAACTTTCGACTTGTAATTATCGTTCTAAGGATTCCAATATAAAAAATTTTTAACGTTCAGTGGTTCACGCGTAGCGTACTCGTGTGCCGTAAAATTATTGATCCATTTTAAAAACATTGAAATAAAACAAGTGTAATGGCAAAAATATTAGTTGCAGATAGACACCGAATCATTATTTGTTATCAGGACGGGCTTAGCCAGAGAGAGATTGCCAGAAAATGTAAATTT